TTGACAGGAACTCAAAAACATTAGAGATGTTGCCACCAGTAGCTGATTGATTTACTGAGTAAGCATTTCCTAACATAGCACCATTCTAGGCACTGCAAAGTAACCATGAACAAGAAGCCCAAGTCTGTGTCATGATGACACACTACAAATAGAGAAAACATAAAATAAGCAATGCATAAGATGGTTTCTGAACTATCTGCTTTCTGATGGGATCTGTCAGGAGTGCTCAGCAAGCGTCATGAAGGAAATAAACGGAGATGTGATTGGGACGGGGTGGGGTGCTTTCAGGAGGACAGCCCACAGAAGTCCCTTCTGAGATTATAAAATGAAACTTGATAGATGAGAACTGAAGGAAAGTACCTCCTGAAAGACCTTACAGCAGAATGAGTGCCATATTTTTTAAGGAACAGAAAGTAAATCAGGATAACTTAAGAGTAATGAAGAGAGGTCACAATAATTCAGAAGATGTCTGAATCGCTTCTCAGCCTTTTGGCTAAGATCAAGTTTAGTATCTGTTCTTACAAAAAATGTCTAAAAGGCAGGAGGGGGCCATATGGTAATAGTAATTTAACCGTAAACAAAACAAAAAAAATAACCGAAGTGATTCCAGCAGAGCAGCAAGATCTAATTCCCAACAGAGTATTATGGCTGCTGGGCAGCAACAGACAGGAGGTAGAACTGAAGAAGACAAGGTATTATTTATAATATTATTTTGAATACTTTGATTTTGGTAAAATGAACAGGTATGTATTCCTTTATTTATATATTTTCCATGAATTCCACATAAAATAAAATAAAAACTAAAGAATTCATGAGCTTCAGTTTACCACAAGCTTGTTTGTTTGTTTGTTTGTTTGTTTGTGGGCCACAAGCTTGATGGCACACCTTAGAGACCCTCCTCGTGGAGTAAACCTCATTCTTTAGTCAACAATAATTTCAGCTTTTACCTTAAGGTTCAACATGACATAGCACACAGTAATTCCATTCCATGAATTTCAACATAATCAACATGTTCATACTTTCAAGTTCTATTGTCTACAAATACTGACCAAATTAAAAACACTTAGATGTGAGTTCACAATGACTATTCCCCAGTTATTTCGTTTTCTTCTACATTTAAGCAAATGCATTGCTTACCACTGATTCTTTTACAATGGCTTTGTTGTATTATCTGAATTTTACTGTTTGACCTTGATTAGTTTGAGGTTACCTCGATTTAATCAGCCGGTAACATTTTCGAAGAAGGGCTCTGGAGTCCACACTCCCTAATTTCTCAAATATTAAAGTGAACATTTGCCTACATCCCTTGTATTTAAGTAATAATTGGTTTGGCATAGTAGGATGCTAATTGACTCCCATTATTCTAATCCCCTTTTTCCTTTTTGAAGGATATCATAAGTAAAGATCTGCCCTGTCCTTGCTTGCAGCTATGGCCATGCTACTGCTGTTGAGACATAGCACAAGTGTTGGGTGAGACTTCCAGTTGGGTTCCTTAAAAGAATCTGACTCATGCCAGCATGGAATAGGGAACCAGTGGAGAGGTCTAAGGAGCCAGCCCCAATCCCAACTATGTGGACACATGCCCTCCCCCTCCCCCCAAAGAATTTATTTCAGAGGACAGCACTGAATCTGCAGCTCAGGGAGAGGGACATGTCTGATCGGAGCACACGGGAGAAAATGAAGGGGGAGGAAGAGAGAGTGGAGCACAACCTGGCCCACAAACCCTTGAGGACGATGTTCCCACTCAGAGCAGCCAATCCACAGAAAAGACCACATGGCTAGCCCCACTATGAGACAGGACGTCCCTCACTGACCCACAACCCTACAGGGGAGACACATTGTGGGAATTCCATCTGATCTGATCCCACCACACCGAGGCAAAACATTAAGGGCGTGCAACAGAACAGCAAGGGGAACAGAGCAACGAAGTCCCAAGGGAATACCAAAAATGGACTTTGGGGCCAGGGCTTGGGTCCCCAACAGACTGCACTGGAAAACACTCCTAGAACTAACTACAAGCTTTGCTTTCTTGTTGTTTTGTTTTGTATCTTTGTCATTGGCTTGTTGCTGTTGTTTTGTTTTCTTTTGTTGCTTAGTTTTGCTCTGTCTTGTTTTTGTGCATGTTATTATCTCCGCAGTTATTTCTAAATAAGATAGGCTGGATGAACAATCTGGAGGAGAAAACAAAATGACTGACAGTTCTGGGGGACATGGGAGATGGGGAGGTTGGGGGAAAGGTAGTAGTGGTAACAAAGACAGGGACAAGGGACCAACAAGTGATCCAAATCGGTCATTAGGAGGGTATAGGAGTCCTGGTAGGGCACGACCAAGGTTAATGTAACCGAGAGGAATTACTGTAACCCAAATGAAGGCTCAGCATGACAGTGGGACAAGAGGAAAGTCAAAGGAAATAGAGGAAAGAGCTAGGGGGGAAAGGACATTTACAGAGGTCTAAATACAGGCATGTACATATGTAAATACATTTATATATGAGGATGTGGAAATAGATCTATGTGCATATATGTATAGATTTAGTAGTAAGGTAGCAGATGGACATTGGGCCTCCAATGGAAGAATACTCTCACTCAATGCAAGAATACTTCCTTTTATTAAACTGGCATTCCATGATGCTCACCTTCCCGACACAATCACTGAAGACAAAGCAGGTACATAAGCAAATGCGAAAAAAGCTGATGGTGCCCGGCTATCAAAAGATATAGCGTCTGGGGTCTTAAGGGCTTGAAGGTAAACAAGCAGTCATCTAGCTCAGAAGCAACAAAGCCCACATGGAAAAAGCACACCAGCCTGCATGTTCACAAGGCGCCGAAGGGATCAGTTATCAGGCATCAAAGAACAAAAAATCCTATCATTGTGAATGAGTGGGGAGGAAGGGTCACAGGGAGGAGATGCACCAGTCAGGGTACAGTGTAGCAACGATGAAATGTACAACTTTCCTCTAGTTCCTAAAGGCTTCCTCCCCACCATCATGATCCCAATTCTACCTTACAAATCTGGCTAGACCAGAGGATATACATTGGTACAGATAGGAACTGGAAACACAGGGAATCCAGGTCCGATGATTCCTTCAGGACCAGTGGTGAGAGTGGCGATACCAGGAGGGTGGAGGGAGAGTGGGGTGGAAAGGGGGAACCGATTACAAGGATATACATATAACCTCCTCCCTAGGGGATGGACAACAGAAATGTGGGTGAAGGGAGACGTTGGACAGGGCAAGATATGACAAAACAATAATTTATAAATTATCAAGGGTTCATAAGGGAGGGGGAAGCGGGGAGGGAGGGGGAAAATGAGGACGCAAATGTTTTAAGAATGATGAGGGCAATGAATGTACAAATGTGCTTTACACAATTGATGAACGTATGGATTGTGATAAGAGTTTTATGATAAACTAATAAATTAAAAATGATTTTAAAATGATTAAAAACTAATAAAATGATTTAAAAAACACAACAATAAAATTTGGTGAGGAATATTGAATAAAAAAAAGAACTAGCAGGAAAAAAAAAGACCTAGCATCTGAAAAGAAAAACAGACAAAAGCCTCCATTGGAAAGGAAGCAGAAAAATGTTTAAAAACAGAATAAATTGAAAAGGGAGATCTAATGAAGAGGTGTTGCATTCCAGGCTGGCTGCATTGGCTATAATGCATGCTCTTTGTCTGTTATTAAAGCTATTCCCATTCCTAGACTACGGTCAATGGGGATTCACCAGTTACTCAACCCACAGAGGGACCCCACAAATGGATTTTGGGCTTCCACTGTCATCTATAAAGTACTCTGAACACTGTTCAAGCCAGTTGAGATTTGCCCAAATTTATTTGTGTGTGTGTTTGTTGTTGTTTTCAACAGTTTTATTGGCATATACTTTACATCATACAATTCAATTCAATCACATCAAGAAGAGTGGTACAATTATCACCACAATCAGTTTTAGAATATATTTTTTAATTCTCGTGAAAAAGAATCTGACTCAATTGGGAAAGCCCTATGGTTTTTTCCCCATCCTCCTTCATATGCCCTACAGTAGTAGACTGCTGCATTAATGGCTCAAGTTCTACAAGGGGCATGAACTTGACACGACATCAGAAGTACATTCATGGGTAGAAAGGAGCTTCGGCTGATTGATAAAGCTATCATGCAGAACCTGGGCTGCTAATCTCCATACTTATCATAAATGATTAAGTTGTAGCCATTGTTACTAGCAATCAAACAAACCTAATATTTACTTCAGGGTATATTATTTTTGAGATGTCTCTGGGTGGTAACAAATGGGAACACACTTGCCTACTAACCAACAGGGTGGAGGTTTGAGTGCACTCAAGGTGGCTACAAAGGAAGGTCTGACAATCTAGAAAAACCAGTCAGTGCAAACCCTATGTAGTTCTCGTGGAATCTAGACTTCCTTGAGCCATTGAGGCTAGATGGAAGTCAGAAGTTTTTGCTCTGAGAAAATCTTTAACCTTAAACTAAAAATATTTCCTGAGATCTTCTTTAAAACCAAACAATAGTTTAGATTAGCTAGTAAAGAAGTCTATCCTGAGCATTGTGCCCTTTTAAGATCTGTGAATGAGGTCAGGCTGACAAGACTTGAAGACCCAGGGATTAAATGGGAAACGTGGGAGCAGAACTTTGTACTGATGTGAAGGAGCAATTCACGGGAGGGGGAGAGTGGATGCACAACTCAAAACGTAATTCTCACCACTGAATTACACATAGAAATTTTTGGAATACAGGTATGCCCCTTTGTGTTTAATTAGCAAAAATAATAAAAATGGAATAAAATATTTGTTGGGTTTTTTTCTTTTGGGGGGAGGAACCCTGTGGATGAAGTTTTATTCTTATATAAAAACACAGTCCTTTCCCGCTCCCGTCACACAATAAATAGCTGCTCCCTCACGGGGTGGGGGTGGGGCGTCCTGCTGCCAGGGCGAGGGGAGACCTAGGGCTGCCTGGTGTGCGGGTGTGCAAGTGGGCAACCCAGTCAGTCGTCGTCGCTGTCGTCACTGTCGTCGCTGCCTTCTGGCAAGTCGTTGTCGCCCATCTGCGCAAACCTTCCAGACTGCGCATCCCACATGTACCTGATGGTCACTTTGAACTCAGCCATCTCATAGCCAAAAAGCGTCAGGACACGGGCCTGCTCCGGTGTCAGCACATCGCCCTCCTTGCACACCTCGTAGTCAGACAGCAGGGTGACTACACCTTTCTTGAGGGCGTTGGGCAGGCCTAGCTGCCTCAGCTGTGGCTCCACGGAGTGCGGGAACTGCTCCAGGGGCCCAGGATCCAGGCTCACCGAGAAGGATGCTTTGTTACCGGCGTAGTCCATCTCCATGAACTTGGTGAACCACTCGTTCACTTCCTCCTTCGTTTGATTGGTGAAAAGGAGGCGGCCAAGGTCACCCTTCAGCTTCCTGCTGACCTGGGGCAGGTTGTCTTTGTACTCTTCAGAGGGGCTTCGACCCAAGGCCACCATCATCACTTTGCTTTTTCCAAAGAACATCCGGTTGTGCTTCCAAGCGTTCTGGATGTCCTTCAGCTTGCTGTTCCTCATGTTGGCCACGGAGAAGATGAAGAGGTACTTGTACGTGTCCACACATTTCTGAAGCTCTTCTATCAGGTTCTGTTTCAGTTCCAATCCCTTCTTAGCAGTTTTGGTTAAGATTTTCTTGTCACGCTTGGATTTAGGCATCTCGCCGCTGCCACGTGCAGTGGAAGGGCGCACTGCCCTATTTGTTGTTTTTTTAACCTATGGAACACAGTTCTACTCTGATACACATGGTGTCACCATGAGCTGGAACTAACTCGATGGCCACTGAGTATAATTTTTTTTAATCACCCTTTCATTCCACCAAAACTTTATAAGCATAGTTCTACATTAACTGTCTTCTATAATGGACTAATGCCTATGGGGACTTAAAGACTTGAAAGAAAACAAGTGGCCATCTAGCCCAGAAGCAACAAAGCCCACATGGAAGCAGCACACCAACATGTGTGATCATGAAGGGCCGAAGGGACCAGGCTTCCAGCACCAAAGGCTGGGTAGGGAAAAAAAAATCATATCATCGTGAATGAGGGTGGCACGTGATGGGGACCCAATGCCCATCTGTAGACAACTGGACATACCTTGCAGAGGGGTAGTGGGGAGGAGATGAGTCACTTAGGGTTCAGTA